TGCGGGGCGCGCGCCCTGGGCTCCCGGCGGGCAGCAGCCCAGTCCGAAATGGCAAAGGGTTCTTGGAAATAATTGTAGGTTAAAAGCAAAAAAAGAAATAAAAAGTTTTTTTTTAAAAAAAGAAAGACAAAAACGTTTCGGCGCCTGAAAGACTTAACTTTTTTATTTTTAAATAGAATGTCTGAGGAAGTGGACTTCTTCCACGGAAGCTCACATTGGAAAATATGAAAGTTAGTCTTTCACTATTCTGAGTATTCTCTACCTGGAAATCTCTGGAAATGGTCAGCATAAGTCGGAATTGACTTGGCAGCGCAGTATTATTATTGTAGTGCTAACAAGAGTCTGCCTATACCTGCTGTTTGCATTGGGATGGAAACTCTCATTGGTGCTGCAATAAAAAGTCCCCAGAAAGGCTTATTCTTTTAGTGTAGATTTCCCACCTCACTGACCATTATTGGTGACGTTGGTGCCCCATTATTTCCTGCTCATGTTTGGAAACAGGGTAACCAACATTTTATGCAGCTGGATGGCTTCTATCTGAAATTGGAAACAAGTATATGGTGAGGGGGGACCAAAGGAATGACAACTATTAGTACAGAACCTTTTAAAAAGGTTATTTTCAAATAGAAACAGAATTGTACATTATCATGCAATAAGTGTTTCATAGAAAATATAGAGGCTAAGGTTCATGGGAATTAAACAAAGGGGATGAAGTAGGAATTGAAGGGAAATATTACCACGAGAGCATTTACAGCAACTGGTACAATGACCGAGATGAACAGGTTATTTATCCTTCTTTGTCCACTATATTATTTGTATTGCTATCAGCCCAGTAATTACAAAATGCTTCCTATGAAAAAGTTGGGAACAGAGAGAGACAGAATCCTGGTAATGAAACGATGGATTGGCTTCTGATTTAGGAGCTCCACGCCCACCTGAATGGCTCCATCAGTTCTGACACCATGAAAAGGTTGATGGCCCAGAAGCCAGACCTGCAGATCCCTAACGGGATGACGATGATTGAAAAAGGAAAGAAAAGAAGGCTGGAAGAGTAAGTTCTTGTACATTTCATGGGGAACGTCCTTTCGCCCAACGATCTAATTCAGATATGGCTTCCGAACTATATGCTCTATAAGTAAACTATGGAGGATTGTGGAATGTTAGGATATTTAGTTTAAAATTGGTGTTAAATTAACATACACTAGGCCCCTTGTATCTGCGGGATCAGTATCCACGGTTTCATTTATCCATGGTCTCAAAATATATATTTTTTAAAAACCCTAGCCGTACATAGTTATATATGTATTTCCATGATATAATTACCAGAACTGGTCCTTAGAGGGTTCCAGACACTATCCATGGTTTTCAGCATCCGTGGGGCGGGGCTTGGATACCGTACTCCTACTGTAATTAAAAAGCTATAACAGACATAATTGTTGCTGTGCAAAACAGGCTATTTTCAATTCAATCAAGTAATGGAATTCATTTTTATGCATGCCATTTCTTAACATTAAATTCTCTTTTCAAATCCTTGTTGGTGCAGATGTTTCCAGATGTTTCAGATCATTCACCAGATTACTAGTAGGACTGAAGACATATTAATGGTAAGTTAATTCAACTGTGTGCAGGGGTTGGATGTCTCCTCATTTAGCTTATTGCAGGGAAGCCTTTGGGTGATGGCTATGACAAGGGAAGGTCCCAAAGTGTGGGCAGAGTGAGGGACTAAGACTTGGGAGACCTGAGTTCAAATCTCTGCTTGGGCATGGAAATTCACTGGGGGGATGGTGGTAGCACTGCTAAAACTACTCCTGAAATATTTCACTCATCTTGGAAATCCTATTAAGGTCGCTGTTAAGTTGGATGCAAACGCCGAGCATAAATTAAAGGTGAAAAGGAATCAATGTTTTCCTCATCAGTTATTTTACATTTCTGAGTGTCTTCTTTGCTGTAATGCCACGATTCTCAACTTTGGGTCCCCAGATGTTTTTGGCCTGCAGTTCCTAGAAGCCTTTTCACCCAGATGTTTTTGGCCTGCAGTTCCTAGAAACCTTTTCTCCTGTAGCTGTGCTGGCCAGGATTTTTGGGAGTTGTTGTCCAAGAACATCTGGGGACCCCAGTTTGAGAACCCGGACTGCTCTGAAATATCCTCTTTCTCCTACTGACTAGACTGGTCAGTTTCATGTTCAGGAATCTGAAATACACCGGTTGATTTCAAGTCAGCCGGCCAGCTCCGTGGTTGCCAGTCTGCAATTTGTATCTTTCAGTTTCGTTTTGTTTTGCCAAATGTGTTCAGAAACACTTCCTGGAAGAAAAATGTATGTGCTCAGGTTACAGACTAAATACAAACAATGCAGCCTCGAAGAGTTATGATGAAACAACTGCGTGTGAAACTAGTAGTGGATCTGCAAGTAGGATGCTTTTGAGACCATGGTCCTCTCCCTCCTTGGAGGATCTGTGGGTGCAACAGGCTTTCGTCCTTTCAGGTAACCAAAGACGTTGTTCGGGAATTCGCTGCTGATGGAGTCAAGTATCTGGAGCTACGGAGCACACCCAGAGATGAAAACACCACCGGTAAAAACTTTTTCCCCCTGCCTTTTATTTTATCAGTGTCTCTCCCCTCCCACCGAAGGCTCTCAGTCCTCATTGTCTGATTTGGGGGGGCGGGGGGAGAGACAGTGAAACTGCTGTTTCTCCCACAGAGCCTGGAAGCAGTGTGTTAGAAACAGCTATCATGCCGACTTTATACCATTCCCTCATTTTTTATTTTTAAAGCTTTTAAAAATACTATAACTAATAGCAGCGAAATAATAATAACAGAGTAGAGTAGGACCCCCTATATCCACAGGATCAGTATCCACTCATTCACTTATCCACAGTCTGAAAACATTGAGATTTTTTAAAAAATCGTAGAAATATATACAGTATTTCTAAAGATGAAATTACCAGAACTGACTCCTAGGTAGAGCCAGAGACCACGCTACGTAAGTGTTTATAACTTACATTTTTCAGAATCCATGGGGGGTGGGGGGGTTGGATCTGATCTCCCCATATTTCTAAAGACGAAATTACCAGAACTGACCCCTAGGTGAAGCCAGGGGTCTTGCTATAACTCACGTTTTTCAGAATCCATGGGGGGGTGGGGGGTTTGGATCGGATCTCCCTATGGATACAGGAGTCCTGTTGTAAAAAGGGTTCATTCATTCATCCTGCCTGCTCACCAGTAAGGAAGAATTAAAGTTTATCAGGGTCGGTTTTTTCCAGCCACGCTCCAGCCAGGCGTGATATAAACGGGTTGGGAGAACAGCCCAGGCCGGGTGTCCATGCTTTGTTTTCCTACCCTTTGACTCGAGTAACCCACTCGCATGTTTCTGAAACCGTGAGCAGGGAATTGGCTGGGAAGACCCCTGGCTCAGGCGTTAGTCTGTGTGCTGTGACAAGGAAGAAGAAAGTCATGCTAATGACATTTACTGATACTTGGATTTCTGTAGCGCTGCAAAGGCAGGAAACCTTTTTAATTTTTTATAACTCCCATTGGGAGTTATGAAAAATTAAAAGGTTTCCTGCCTCTGCCAGTGTGATAGATCTGCAGCTCGACAGAAATCCTGCCGACATGGCAGTAAATCTTGTGGGCTGTGCAATTCCTATGGATTGTGGGACAGGGTGAGGGAGTGGGGAGAAAACTAGAAGTGTCCCCTATCTTTAGTGTATGTCACCCTATGCATGATGGGACCACCGTACATTTTAAACGGGCACAGATCTTGCTTCCATGTTTTTCGACAGGCATGACCAAAAGATCGTATCTGGAAGCAGTCCTTGAGGGCATAAGACAATGCAACAAGGAAGAGCTGGACATAGAGGTTCGGTAAGTTTATTTTATTTGTTTAAAGGAAATGTCTTTCCCCGGGGGGGGTGCACTTCTTCCCTGGGGGAGAAGGGGGTGCACTCCAAGAGTGGGCGGAGCCACAGGAAAATGGTGGAGCCCCCAATTGCCAACATACCTTAGCTGGAAGTCCTTACTGCCATTAACTCTGCTCTAGGGGGGCTCTTGGTCTTTCAGAATAAGCCATTAAAAGCTGGGAAATCCCCCACGCACTATGGTGAAAGGGCCAGTTTGGGGACCTTAAGAGCATCCAGGTTGGACCTCGGGGCCGAAAGCTCTCCACCTCTGCTGAAGAGCCTTCAGGAGTCACAGTAGAGGATCCTAGCCGAGATAAGACCATCTGCTCTGGTACGAGGCAGCCCCTTGGGTCCTTTGTGTGGTCTGCTTTTGCTGACCGTCCATGTTCCTTGCCTTCTAGATTTCTAGTATCTGTGGATAGAAGAGCTGGACCAACGGTGGCCAAGCAGACGGTGAAGCTGGCCGAAGACTTTCAGCTTTCCACGGACGGAGTGGTGGTCGGAGTTGATCTCAGTGGAAATCCAACTGTAAGCATTCTTTGGGAAACGGCTCCTTGCCTGCCCACCCTGAGCCGTCACCGACCGTCACCAAAGGATTAAGGATCCTTTAATCGTACAAAGTGATTACGATTTCTCTACAAAGTGCTAAGTGTTCCCTTCTTTTCTGGAAGGCAGGGCATGGCAGGGACTTCCTGGAAACCCTCACGGAGGCCAGAAGAGCCGGCCTGAGGCTGTCGTTGCACCTTTCAGAGGTAATGTCTTCGGGGGAGAGCTTCACCCCAGGAGGTTTCAAAGGAAATATTAACAATAGCGTTGTGCTTTGCACAAATGGGGAGGTCTGCAAACCGAAGGGAAAAAAATTAAGCAACAAACAAAGCAGGTACTAAATTTAAAGGTGACTTCAGGAGAATTTTGGAAGTAATCACAGTGGGGTGTAGATGGTAGTTGTCATGTTTAAACGAAGTCATGGCTGCTGATGTGTATACTGTACACAGTGGCATGCCAGCGTGGGATATTATTGTACCTGGGTTTTGCACACCTGAAGCACTTTCCAACATGCAGAGTTTCAAAACGTTGCCTCTTTTGGCCGTGGTTCCATCCCAAAGGATTCTGGGATTTGTAGTTTAGCAAGGTGAGTAGAACCGTGCTGTAGTTCAGGGGAGTGTATTTCTAGTTCATGCCTGCTGGGTCCTCCAGATGTTTTGAATGTCACCCTCCAGAATATCTGGCCAAGGGATCAGGGATTCCATCCCAAAGGATTCTGGGATTTGTAGTTTAGCAAGGTGAGTAGAACTCTGCTGTAGTTCAGGGGAGTGTATTTCTAGTTCATGCCTGCTGGGTCCTCCAGATGTTTGGAACGTCACCCTCCAGAATATCTGGCCGAGGGACAAGGGATTGTCCTTTAAAACATCTGGGGACCACTGTGCCAGCACTCTAGAGCATGTTCTTGGACTTCAACTCCCATAAATCCTGGCCAGCAGAGGTGGTGGTGACGGCTTCTGCGAGTTGTAGTCGAAGAACATCTGGAGGCCCAAGGTTGGGGACCAATGCTTTAAAACATCTGGAGGAGGGCCCAAGACCACTGCGCCAGCGCTCTAGAGCGGAGTATTCTCAGTCCAGACGGCGAGGGTGTCATGACAGTCAAAGTGGGATCAGACTGATACAACGCCATTGTGTAGATGCCCTCCTCGTTCATTGACTAGATGAAGTTAAAACTTACTCCTTGCTATGTCCGTGATCATACGGACACACAGCCAACAGGAGTCTCGAATGCAGCAGGTAACATCGTCCGTCCTTCGCGTGTGCGTTCTTTGCTTTCAGGTCCCAAATCGGGAAGAGGAGACCAAGCTCCTTCTGGATCTGCCTCCTGACCGAATCGGACACGGGACCTTCCTTCATTCTTCGCGGGATCTTGTGGAGCTTGTTAAGCAAAACCGCACACCTTTAGGTAAAAGGGGGGAGGAGGGAAAGGACCTGGATGCCAGCTGAGAGGGGCTTGGGGATGCAGCCAGCCCCTGCTCTTGTGTCTTAGGGTACACCCGGCCAAGCTCTGCGTTCTTTGCTGCCCTGGTGCTCGCCTTTGCTTTGTTCCCTCCTGACCTGATTTTCGGGTTCCTTCCTCAGAACTCTGCCTGACATCCAACCTCAAAGGGCAGACCATCCCCTCGAGCGACCAGCACCATTTTGGCTTCTGGTACCGCATGGACCATCCTGTCGTGATCTGCGTAAGCGCCGTTCCTATTTGGTGGGCGTAAAGGGATGGAGCGGGAACCCTTTCTTTTGAGTCTGTTTCGGTTTAACCCTCCTCCTCTTGTCGTAAGAACCGGAGCTTTGCGAGATCAGTCCAAATTGGAGGGCGAGGGAGGCGCTAGAATACTCAGGTCGTCAACTGGGAAAATTGACGTTTCTGTGTGAGCAGTGCCCATGTTTCCGAATGCCTAAGGATGTTCGAAAACTTGCCAGTGTGCCAGGAAGCGCGTGTTGGTTCTACGTTTGTATGGTGGAGTGTTGTTTTGTTAAGGCTAGGTGAGGTTTTTTCCTCCCACCTCTAAAAAAAAAAAAAAAAGGTGGCTAAATAGCTCAGTGGCTTGGAGGTTGTCAGTTTGATGCCTTTCTTTGTCTCCTGGATGAGGAGCCAGCCTGGGTGGCCTTGGGCCAGCTGCCCCGTCCCAGGGGCAACCCGAGAAGGAGGGAATGAGAAGCCACATCTGTGGACTCGCTACCTCGGAGGCCTTGGGCCAGCTGCACCATCCCAGGGGCAACCCGAAAAGGAGGGAATGAGAAGCCACGTCTGTGGAGTCGCTACCTCGGAGACGCTGAAAAGGATCACTATAAGTCAGAATTGACTTGAGGGCACACAATTATTATTATTTCCCCCCCCCCAAAAAAAAAACTGGAAATAAAAGGAAGTTTACTTCAAGTATACAAATTAAAACAGCTATAGAGCTGGTTTTCCAGCCACCCTGGAGCAAAGATTCTGCATCTTTAGGGGAGAATTGCTGCTTCTAAACTAGGCTTTTTAAGGAAATACCAAAGGCTGGAAAACAGGCTGGAGGGGGGGGGGCTGCAGGGGCCCCACAAGCTCCAGCCTGGGAGACACCCCCCCGTGTATTCAGAATTGCAAAAAATATAACCCTTTCTTTTTCTTAATTCCTTCCATCATCAGACCGATGATAAAGGTGTCTTTGCCACCGACCTGTCTCAGGAATACCAGCTGGCTGCGGACACGTTTCAACTCTCGGAAGAACAAGTGTGGAACCTGTCCTACGAGGCCATAGACCACATTTTTGCTTCCAGTCATACGAAAACAGCGTTGAAGGAACGGTGGAAGGCACTGAAACCGTCCATGCTGTGAAAAGAGCTCCTCTCACTAAACCACGAAGGGCCTTCGTTTTTGACACATTTGTTTTCTATCGGCAACGGGATTGTGTGTGTTTGTTTTTTAAATACCACAGGAGATGCTCACGACTGCGTCGCCCTCCCACCAGAAACATGGAAATGACGCTTTTCAGGATCGAATTCTCAGAAACCCGTAGCGGGCTCAAGGCCATGGAACAATTCATCTTCCTAGGAGATGCGTCAGCGTTGATTCGCTCCTCATCCTTGCTCATAAATGAACTGGTCGTGTTCAGCAATTCATCAAGAGCATGATGCCATTTTCACTGCAGCATTATAAACGCTCGGCAGGAAAAGAGGGAGGCTGAGATTTCTGTGCAAGAGGCAAAAATTACCCATTTCTGGTTTTGTTGAAATTAAACAGAATATTCTTTGGATCTGCCTGTGGCAGAGCCTGTATCCATCTTTTGTCAAAGGGCTGCGCAATTAATCACTTATTAATTACCTAGGAAATGTACAAGAAAAACAACAGACCCAGAATGGTACTTCAGTCAACACACAATGCCTTGTGAATATAACGGAGGCGCATCTTATTAAAAAAAAAACACCAGTATTTATTCATTACGCCGCTGGTTAGTGGTGCCCAATGTCTGTTTCTCACAACTTGGAAATATTACTTTTTGAACTACAATTCCCAGATTCCCCCGTTGCTACCTAGGATCTTCCTTTCTGAGCAAGGTGGATCTGGGCCTAGCCACAGGAGGCATTTCAATACACACTTAAAAAGCACTGGGTGGAAGCCGTGAGCCTCCTGTCAGAAGAGGAGAGCAATCCAGGTGAAGGGAAGAGGAAGGGAGAAAGTAGACCGTCAAGGAAATTAGAAGCTCTTTCTCCTCCAGAGCCACAAGGGACCAGCCGAGAGAGAACCAAAAAGGGTATACAAGCAAGAGGACTTCAGTGCAGCTCCCTTGGGTCCTTTTTTAAGGTGGAAGTTGGGGTAAAAATATTTTAAATAAAATATATTAAGTAACAAATACATAGGGGCCAAACCAGGTGGACCTCCCCACCGTCTACTAATAGGTGAAACTGCAGGGAAGGTGATTTCTACCTGGCGGTAGTGGGAACTTTCTAAGTACAAGATCTGTTCATCCGCGGAGCAGGTGATGGATCCCCTTTGGTCAGAGGTCCTTAAATGGGGTGTGTGTGTGTGTTTGTAGACAATGACCTGTGAGAGATGATGAGGACCGGCAAGATTTCTGCAGGTCCCCAAGCCTGACTTCATGAGTCATTTCTACAGCCACGTTGCAAAACACTGGAGAAAAAAAGCAAGGACATGTTTACTCTTTGCTGAATGGGGAGCCTGGCTGGTTTTTAACCCTCAGCTTTGCCATCCCTTGGTTGAGAAGGAGCCATTTCTTTTCCCCCCAGCAGGGCCCTTGTTTTTGTCCCCCCCCCAAAAAAAGCAGAGAACCGACAGTTGACGTGTCCTTTCCTGGGTGCGGTCAAGTTTAATTAAAGTACCAAGATCTCACGGGCTGTCCTTGTTTTCCTCCTCCTCTCTTTTTTTCTTTCTTTCTCTTTTCCTCCTTTAGCTGGTCCACAACCAGAGTCGGTCACACACTGCGGGAGACCAGAGAGAGTTATTGCGACTCGTAAGCAACAAGGTCCCAAACAGACGGCCAGAAAGAAAATAATATCCAAGAATAGTAGGGATCTCCAGGTAGGCTGGGAAGGAACGCACTGCTGGCCTTCAAGAGTTGGTAATATTTGACTACACGGGTCAAGGTTCTGTCCTCGTACCAGGCAGCTTCTTCTATTTTTTGTGCCCCTTGAAGCTAAACAAACCCTTTAGCTCCTACAGTTCTGCCCACCCCCCATGTCTTGTCCTGTCTTTCTTGCTGTGCGGAGACCCAGGGACGGCTCCCCAAATTATTTTTTAAAAAACCCAAATGCAGCTGAAAACACGATGACAGGATAGTAAGATTAAACATGTTCCCATGTTAGAATAGCAAAAATTTTTAAAACAAAGGCACATCTGAAAAAGTCTTTTGAAACCCCAGCTGAACTCTCGCTGAAAAAAACGTCAATTAAATGTCAAAAGGCACACGAAGACACTGACCGAAAGGTTTCCCGGCTGCCCTCCAAGGCTTGATGAAGTTGATCACATTAACGTAATTGATCCACTTCTCCTCCTGCGTGGCCTTGGGGCCTGGACGAAAGTAAGAGTTAACACAGTACAAATGTCTGCGAAAGGATATTTGTGAATCAGCCGACATGACTGCCCTCTGAACTCCGTAACACATTTTTATTTGAATGTGGAATGATGCGGGTGGAGAAGGTCACCCCCACCCCACCCCCAGAATTTAGGGTGGAACCACAGAGTCTTGTGGGATCTAGAAAGCAAAGCTTTTTGCTGAGCGTGTGGTCTCATGGACGCCAGTCTGGACGAAGGCTCTAGTCCACAAACGTTAAGGCACAGTAAAGCTAGTCATTCTTAAGATGCTACCAGACTCCGTGCTGTTTTGATGGCAACAGACTGACATGGATACAGTGGTGCCTTGCTTAGTGATTGCCTTGCTTAATGAGGAAATCGCTTGATGATTAAGTTTTTGCAATCGCAAAACGATGGTTTAAATGGGAAAAATCTGCTTCACAATGATTGGTTCCCTGCCTCGGGAACCAATTTTCGCATTACGATGATCTAAAAACAGCTGATCGTCGGGTTTCAAAATGTCCGCCGGGTGTACAAAATGGCTCTCCGCTGTTTTTAGGCTCTCTGCTGTTTTTAGGAGCCATTTTTTGCAATACAGGCCACCTCTACGGAGGATCTTCGCTGGATGGTGAGTTTTCAGCCCATTGGAATGCATTGAATGGGTTTCAATACATTTCAATGGGCTTTTTAATTTTGCTTTACGATGTTTTCGCTCTACAGCGGTTTCTCTGGAATGAATTAACATTGTCAAGCGAGGCACCACTGTACTCGTCCCCTTCTAAAAACAAATGGGACGGTCATAGTGTGGCAGCTTTCAGATTAATAGATTTATTATACACGTGAGGGTTTTTTTTTAACAAGCATGCCGTCTAGGTCTTGCTTTGATCTGAATCCCTGCCTTGATCAGGAGGTTGGACCCTCAGGCCTTATAAGCCCCTTCTGGCTCCACACTGATTCTAGTCCTCCAAACCTGGGTGTCCTTCAAATGGGTTAGACTACATCTCCCAGCATCATCAGTCCGCAGAGCTTGGCGGCTTCTGGGCTAAAGCAGGCTGCCCTAGATTCTCAAGGGCTACAGAGGAGGGATCTCTTCGCAGTCCAAAGGGTGAGCGGCAGAGCGAAGCCGCGAGGCGGTCAGCGCCAGCTCTTGGGTCAAGGTTTCTGTTGCTTTCGCACCTTCTTGTGTCAAAGCAGCGTGGCCATTGCCACAGGCCCTGAGGGTGGGTCAGTCCTCTCCGTCCCCTCCCGCCGGGCATCCCAGGGAGATGCCTCAGCTGGGCACAAAGGCGCTTCCCTGCGTAACGGGCTTGCCTCCTTTTATGACCGTGGGCTGCCCTGCCTCTGTGACATCACGAGGCCCCGCCCACTACCCTCATCTTCCGGCCTTGAGTTCGGAGGCCATCATGGGATGTTCCTGGCTTGGGAAACCTACCCATCGCTCTGCTTCCTTGGACCACATTCAGCGGGTTTGGGTATTTCTTGTAATACACTTTCTCTACATCATCCATGATTTCATCCCTCCCCTCCACAGGGTGATGATGAGGATATTCAAGCAGCTGATGAGCTTCAACCTTACCACCCCCTCCCAAATGGTTTTACCTGTCACCTGGCTGAGATCAATAATCTTGGCTCCTCGGTATTTAATATATTCTCGCATGAATCCATTGTAATCCACAATCTTCAGGGATACAAAAGAGAAATAAATGTCGACACACTTGATTTGGGAGGCTGACGAAGGGGCAGAAATGGGGCGTTTGTAGTACCTTTGCTCATCCTAAATCTCAAGATGGCCTGCCTGTCTTAGGTCCAGCTTAGATGGAAAGAGTTACGAGTAACAGAGTTGCTCATGGCTAATTTTTGAGTAACATCTTGAAGCTGGGTTACAAAAATAATGTAACAAACAACAGCAACATTCTTTTATTGGAACGACAGTTACTTTCAAGTGGCATTTAAAGTTGTTTTAAAGAAAAGTTTTCAATTTTATGCTATTGTTGATCCTAAAGTTTCATCGACAGTACATAATGTAACAAATTACTTTTTCAGTCGTGCAGGGAGTGAAAACAATGGGCTACTAGTCAAGTAATGAGTCATGCAAAATGAATTGCTTCTAAAAAAAAAAAATAACTTTCCAAGTTTTGCTTAAAACAAGAATTGGCAACTGTGACCCTCTGAACATTTCATCTTCTCAGTTTATGAGTTAAATTAATTATTTGTTATCCTGTCTTTGTCCTGTAGAGTGTTTCCAAACCTTGGGTCTCCCGATGTCCTTGGACTGTGCTGGCCAGGATTTCTGGGAGTTATAGCCTAAGAACATCTGGGTTACCTAAGGTTGGGAACTATTGCTGTAGATGGTTTTGGGTTACCGAATCCCATCAGCCAACATAGGCAGCGAGGAAGGTCTGTGGGGATTCCAGTCCAGGGTCACAGGTGCCAACCTTGTCTTAAACCTCTGCCGATTTCAAAACTGTGACCACAAGTCTGGATTCTGGAGCCTGAACTTCATCCACTTCCTTCTGGCTACTAGAGAAGGGCACTATTCACTGAACTGCTGGTTTGTGCCCATTCGTTTTTCAGTTGAATGTCGCTCCCCTGCCCCGCCTCCTCTGGCAGGCACCCACTCAGAGGGAAACTCCCTGCCTTCCCTGCCCCGCCTCCTCTGGCAGGCACCCACTCAGAGGCAAGCTCCCTGGATTCCCTGCCCCGCCTCCTCTGGCGGGCACCCACTCAGAGGCAAGCTCCCTGGATTCCCTGCCCCGCCTCCTCTGGCAGGCACCCACTCAGAGGGAAACTCCCTGGCTTCCCTGCCCCGCCTCCTCTGGCAGGCACCCACTCAGAGGGAACCT